TAAATAGCACTGCTGTCAATTGGCTAGAGCTGGCTTACAGTCCCTGAGGCTTTGGTATCTTTTGTCTGGAAGACTGTAGGCTGTGAAGCTTCTGTCAAAAAAAAAAAAAAAAAAAGTGTGGCAGCTGCATTGGCTGGAGCACTAGCACCTAGAAAGTCCCTTGCATAGCTGTAAGAAGCTCTTGCTGAGGAGAAGCCCTGCATTTGCCAGACCAGTACTGACCACTATGACCTTCACACCCCCCTCAAAAGCTGAGACTGGAGCACCACTTCAGTGATGAAGTTCCTTTCCTGTGCCAGTGCTCATTCAAATACTGTTGCACTCATTCAGTTTGTGAAACTTGCAGAAAGTGGTAACAAATGCAAATTTGCAATGTGCAACCAGCAGCTGGAGAGCAAGGTTTCTGTACTAGGTGCTGTACTAAGTATGGATTAGCAGGGAGCAAACAGACTGATACTTGATCTGCTCTTTATTGCCGTTGCTTTAAAAGGCTTGTGCTTATTTTGAAAAGCCATGTTTGAGATATGACAGAGCATAAACTTTAATCTGTATGGTCCAATCTTTAGGTGGAATATAAAAGCATGTGCTTAACAACCCTCTTTCTCTGAAACAAGACTATATGATATTTACCCTTCCTATTCCCATTATATTTAAAAGACTTGTATTCCCATTATATTTGAAAGACTTGCAGTCTTTATGTAAGGATTAAATTATCTCAAAGAAAACAGTGTGCATGTGGGAGGTGGGGTGCATGGTGATAGGTTGCTGGGGGACTTTGATATTTAACTTAAATTTAATTTAGAACACAAAGTGGAAACAAGTTTGTACTGGAGCTCTATAGCTCTTCCTCAGTTCTGGCCATAAATTGAGAGATGGCATTGAGAGGCATACACTCTGCTTTCCCATCAGATAATGTTTCTGGGGAAGCTTCAGTGTTCTCCTTGTGCTCCAGCTTTGTGTGATGTGACCTGAAAGCTGTGGTAAGGAGACCCTGCTCCCTGGAACCACCAGCCTGGGCTCTTGGTGCTGCCTTCAGCAGAAGTGCTAAGAAACAGAAATTATTTTCTGAAGCACTTTCTAGCAGCAATCTTAAAAAGAAGAATCTGTATGAGATCTGCTTCTATCTGTGGAGAGGTGAGGGGAAGGAAGAAAAAGCATCGCCCCCAATATTACAGTGGAGGGGTAAATCTTTCCAGCATTATGCAAAGTGGGAAGTAGAGTCAGGGAAGGCCCTTTTCGTTTGTCACCAAAAAGGCAGTGGTAGATTGACTTCATTTTCCCATTCCATGGTACCTACACAGGGCCCATCCTTGGCTTGTTTTAAATCTCTCTTGTTACACAACCAGGGAGGCCAAAATGTTAAGATACAGGAAAGTCATTCCTTTTTGTTGGGGAAACTAAGCAAAAAAGAGAAATTGCTGACACCACTGATGCTGGAGTTGAATGGGATGGGGGGAAGTAACTTTTGCACAAATTGTCACCCCTGATGTATTGAAATTGATATCCATGTACACTTAAGAGCTATTTTCAAAAATTCTATATATTGTGGGCACTCAGTACTTGTGAGAAAAGTCACGTAGGCTCAAGAATATTCACGTTAGGTACCTGCAATCGTGGACACTCAGTTTTTACTCTTTGCAGTTGCTGTTGTTCTTTTATTTCTTCTCCTTCCCCAGTGTGGCTGTGTTCTTAGCTCTGTGCTACTGCATTCCTAATGCCATGCAAATAAAAAACAAAAACAAAAACATTTTTCTCTCTCACCACACTTAATTTATTTGATGGTTATATCGCTGAGATATGTGATTTGTGCATTTGGAGTGTCAGTTTTAAATAAACATTTCTGATTTTGGTACTTTGTAGAAGGCTGTGAGTGTTACAACTTGCACCAGCACTGTTTTTGGGAACTGCGGCCATTGAATTATCCTGATACGCAGCAGTAGAAAAAGAGCCCACTAAGTGCAATGCTTTTTGCAAGATAAAACTAATTATGTTTGGTTATAGTTTGCCCTCTGCCTGCATGTGCTGAGCTTTTGCTCAGGCTCACAAATGCCTGCATGGTTTGAGACTCCTGATGAGGTGAGAAAATAATGGTTGTAGCTCTGCTGCGTGCTAGCTGGCCTTGAGCAGGTTCCACCTGTCTCTTCAAGGGCTTCCTCCTTTGTCAACAGGAATAATTAATAGACTCTTAGGTTACCTGGGATTACATGAAGTCATTTGAAAGTTGGAATGTTGTAGGAACTTTGAGTCTTGAGGTTCAGAACTAAGTACCTCTGTGTTTATATTTGGATAATAGGGATCTACACAGACATCTTCTGAAAGAGGTACATCTGATAACAGAGTGTAAAAAGAAGCCTATGTGTGATAGATCACTCACACCTCATGTGTTTGACCCTGCACTGTGTGAAACCTATTACCTGCTGCTTCTAAAGCAGAAAGGCTGTTTGTTGCTGTAGAAAAGGCAAAACCACCCCTCTGTGCTGAGTGCTTCACAGGTGCCTGGATAAAATAGGAAGAGTATGTACAAAATATTACTCATTTTTATGGGAATGATAATCACATAGGGCAAAGAGCAAGGCTGTTTCATTTAGGAGAGTTTGCAGGTGGATAGAAAATACTTTGTCAGAATAAAGGGAGTTTGGTTGTGTAGAGAAGCTATGTGAAAAAAGAAATTTAAGGAAGTCAAACAGTGAGGGAGAGCAAACATACCTTGTAGTACAGAAAGAAACTAGAAAAAAAAGAAAGGGGGAAGAAAACAGGCAGAATATGGCATTTATATAAAAGCAATTAAGCCTCTATCAGTTACTTGACAATTCTACGTCCATTTCTCCTGTAAGGAGGTGAGCACTTGCTGCTGCTGCTAGAACTTTTGTCTTGGGATTTGTGAGGTTGTATTACATAGGTTCATGAATATCATGAGTGCTGAGAAACAGGGCAGGGAAAATAAAGAAACTTGTACTTTTAGGCACCAATGATGTACAAGATCTTCCCTCTGTGGAACAGGAAGGGGAAATATAATGTATGCACATCACTTGTGCTCCAACAACTTGCACTTGTGGCTCCAAAGCGACATTGGTTGTTCTGATTACTAGATGGGGTCCCAAAAGAACCTCAGTATTCCCTTAGATCACCTTTTCACAGGTTGACCGGACTGACTGGCTTACTAAGACTTAATGTTGCTTTGGATGCCTTTGGTTTCCTCTCTTCTCTCAGATGTAGAGCAAGAAAGCAGCACTTGGATGTTGGATTTGGATTGGGATTTTGTAGGCCTTGTGACTTGCAACTTTAGTTGCTTTTTGACACTGGAGAAATTTGTCCTCAAATGATTCCTGGATTTTGCAGCACTTTGTAGTCTACAACTGGAAAAAGTATGAGCCATGTACAAAATCCCCTGTGACACAAACTCAAAATAGCTGAGGGAGGGAAAATAGCAGCTAGCATTTAGATTTATTCATGTGTGCGTAGATTGCATTACCAGTTCTGGCCTTGTTCCAGCTTGTTTGCACACAAAAACTTTTGATTTGGGAAAGCCTCCTGCTGCCTCCCATTTACCTCCTCATTACAAGTGTTAAAGTCAGAGTTGGTCATTAAGTAACAATAGCAGATACCTGCTGCTGGAAGAGACTGTCCTACCATGTCAGTAACAAAGAGGTGCTCCTTCTCTCCTTTCTTTTTTACTTTTCAAGGTAACGGTGTGCAGTGTCTGTATTTCAAGTACAGTAAGCTTGTTTGAAGTTTCTCTTTGAACAGCAGCACTCCACTTGGGCTGTCACTTTCTGATACGTGCTCAGAAGCAGAATTTTGGTCTTGGAAAAACAGAGCAGGTGCTGTAGGTGAGCATAATGCAGAGGTGAGCCAGTGTGTGCCTCCTAAAGCCATAGCATCTTATGCTTTAATGCTTATCCTCAGTACCTGGTAGTAAGAAAGGTGTGAAATTACTCTCCATCTTCCTAGAAATGCAAGGTAATCAGCAAACAGGATTTTGCCACTACTTTGTTCATGGATGCAGAGAAAAGCTAGGTAACAGTTTGCTAGCTCTTCAGTGATAGTTGAATGGGGCTCCCTTCTCTTGATCACTCCCAGAGGCAACTGAAATGTCTCTGGCAGGCCTTGAGTGTGCTGGGGCTCAGGCTTGGAGATTCACCCCAGAACAGTGCTTATTGGAAACATTAGATATTGGCTTCTTAGATGGTAGGTCCTTTGGAACAAACTTCTTCAAAGAACATCTTTGTTACAGAGGTAAGCAGTCACATAAGCAGACTGAACATATCCTAAGAAGTCTGTACATGCCTGTGTCTCATCCAGGATGTCATTATTCTCTGTAGTTGTATTACTAGCAAGCTGAATGGCATAGTCACAGGTTTGTGTCAAAGGGTCAGAGAGAGTAAATGCACTGGGAATGATGGAGTGTTTCTTTCAAAGACTTAGGAAGCAGACATCACCAGAAATGTGTCTGTTTTTTGTCAATTGTATTACTTGATTTAGGAAGAGATGCTATCTTTGTCTACAAAACTTGCTCCAAAGGATTTTGCTAGTAGCACAACTGTCAGCTGGGATTCAGTAAGAACTACCCAAACCGAAACATGGTAATAGTGAAAGATGCTATGTTTAAGTAAGGATACCAATTATTAAATCATATTGAACCAGGTTAATTTCTTGTGTACTTTGTTTCTTAATATACTAATATACTCAGCTCTCTCTGCTGTCCTGGTGAAAGTTATGGTTTTCAGAATGTGGATATTCATTTCTCTATGAAAGAAAAGAAAAATTTTGTTGACGTTAGTTAAGCTAGATATCCAAAACCAAGCCAAAAATATTATTTCACTAGAAGAATATCAGCTTTGGTGCATAAGCAAAGCCAGAGAAGCAGTTTCTTTTTCAATAGCTAAGGCCTCACCCTTATTTTATTTTTATTTTTTTAAGCAATTGCCCCCAATTTTCCATGCCCCTGCTTTGTACCATCAATAAGTATCTCCTTGTTTGATTGCTTTTTTTCCACTCAGGCACCTTCTATTGTAATGCTGCTGCACTTCAGCCACCCCCAGCTGTCCTTCAAGCCTCCCCAAGGCTCTTCTCTGCTGCACTGCCCACAAATCACTGTCACCTGATAGTCTTGAAGCTGGAGGCCATCTGTGACCATAGTGACTACTGATTTATGGAAGCACACCCATCTTTGTTGTTATTCATGCCACCTTTTTCATGCATTTTTCCCTTACTCCCTGAATGTCTTGTCTTGGGAACATGGAGTGCAAGGACAATGGGGTGGGAACTGCCTAAAGCAATGAATATGAGGTGCAAAATAGATGAAGTAGGGCTTTGTGAAAAATATATTGAGAAATAATAGTATGTTTGGAGTAGATACTTGTCAAAACAAGATTGTATCAAATATAATTATAGAGGAGAACAAATCAACCAAGCTATGTAGGCCAGAATCGCTGATCATGCTAAAGACTGGAAGGATCACGGAGGCCTCTTGTTACCATCAAAGCTTGACAAACCTCCACCTGACTGAGGGTAGCCTTGTGGCTTTGATGTATTTTCTTGTTTTTCATTGCTCTTCAAGGTGCAGTTGGCTCCCAGGGCTGAGCAGAGCTTTTTGGGACATGTGGCTCAAGCCCCAGCACAGTGGCAGAGAACAGGGTTTGGGTAACAGATGTTTCTTGTAGACCTGTCCTGTGCCTCGTCTGACTTGGAGAATTCTCATGAAGCTAGTTGGAAAACTTTTATGGCTACCATGTGTCTCTGTAAAGAGGCCAAGCATTCACTCTTTTATAAGCTATATAAAGGCAAGCTAGGAATGCATGTGTTAGTTCAAACATTTTTGAGAAACATGCTATATTCAACAGGCACCTATTGCTGAAGCAGTAGCAGTGGGGTGACATAGTCAGGACAGAATTGCCAAGCTGTTAAGCAAAGATTATTTATTTTTCATAGCCATATATGACACGTTGCCTCTGTCCTTCCTTTCTACATTTTTACATACCATAGCAGCAATCTGAAATGACTTTGGAGGAAATTGGTTTATATAACCACTGATCTGCATTGCAGAATCAACCTAGTCTTTTTGATTTATTTCCCAAAGCTCTCCTGCATGGTTTCTGTCTTGATTTTCTTGTCAACATGATTTAGTGCATGATTTAGTCTCTGGGGATGCCTTGCGCATTATGTGAAACTGGTGTTACTGTTGTCCTAGCAGACTCAAGCAAAGGGCTGCTTTTTTGTGAAACTGTTTTTTGTTACATATGCTAATGATGTCAAACTTCTGAAGGAAAGTCTCCTGAAGCAAACCAAAGCTGTCTTTGCAAAGCAATCTTTCTACTCTTCCCTGTTGTCTTAATGTTTCTCTGTTCGTTGCTTTCCCTGATGAACTGTTTTTGGTTTGAGGCTCTGCTGATTAATAGTTTCATCTCACTGCTCTAATTTGAGCCTGCTTTTCTAGCAAGGTGCTGAGCACATGCTATGAGTCAGTGGGAGTGGCTGGCATTCAGCACTTCAGCAAACCAGGATGCTTACCTCAGTGCCTCAGTATGGGTCTAGGAGCCTGGTTGAGGCTCCTATTTTTATAAACCAGTGTCATGACATCCAAATATATTAACTGGTGCATTCTTTGAATAATTACAGCTAGTATTTTTAAAAAAGATGAAGTCACTTGGACAATTTTAATGAGACTTAGGAGGCCAGCTCCTGAGTTTCTCTGAAAACCCTGTCCTGTCTGTTTTGTTCCTAAGCACTGCTTAGGGACGAGAGGAATTTCTTTCCTCTGTATCTGCGGATTATGTGCCTGCTTGCTTAAAACCACCATGCCAGGGTAACAGGGACATGGGAAAGGCCTTAAAATGTAGGAATGGTCAACACAAATAGGTTGCCTAACTCTGATTTCAGTATGTGAGTGTGCTGATCGTGCTTGGGAATGTAAAGGAAGAACAAGGAGGCAGCAGCAAGAGTGTGTTAAGCATTTCTCCAAAATGTCCTGCAAATCCTTGGTACCACTGGCTCTCTCTAGTTGCATAACATGACCCACTGAGCATGTCAGAACCTGCAGCTTCAGAGAGATTTTTGTGGGTGGTGGCTGAGGCAAGGAGCGGAACACGCCTTTGATAGATGTATGAAATGGTGTGTGTGGAACTGCCCCCATAAATCCCTCTGCTGCCATGGTGATTTATTGTATGTGCAAACCTCAGAACATGGAAATGGAGCTGTAGCTGTGCTTGCTAATAGCTGGGCCTGAAATGAATTAATGCAATGTCATAATTCACTGAACGAGCTCTGCTCATGTCACAGAACCTGAGAGCACAGTACGAGTGTTTTATCACCCTAGCAGTGAGCAGAGATTTTATGTGCTGCAGATCTGTATATATAAACAAATATACACTATATCCTGCTTTTATATGCATTGTACTTTGCAGTAAGACATAATTGCCGTGGCATCATGTTTCAGGTTTACTAAAAATTGCAATCCAAGGAGTACTTGGATGAGAGATATCAAGTAATGCTAATTTATACTTTGAGATAATTTCTTCATGAACAATGTCTGAGGTTGTTTAAAATCACCTCTCCAGAGGTGTACCTCTCTGCTCTGCCAGCTGCTGGGGAGGCTGCTGGGTCCCGGGTTGGAGGGGAATGCTCTTTCCTAGGGATCTCCTGTCTGACACTTATATCCTGGCACTGCCCTCATGATCCATTTCAGTCGGTGTTAAAGCAGCGCTGTCACACAGAGGAGAAGGTAGTACTCACAGTAATGAAAATACCAAACCCACACAGAATGTTCTCCATTAGCTGCAATTTCAGAGTGGTTTTTCACTGAAGTATATTTCACTGGAGTGGCTGCAATCCATCTCAGCTGAGAGACAGTCAATAATGTCTAAATGGAAAAGGAACAGCCTTTGCCCCTTGCCTCAAAAACTGATAAATATAAAATGCCATTGACTACCACAACTGCTTGAATATATTGAAGCAGCCAAGAAGCTAAAAACATACAGCTGATTGTAAATGTCAGGAGAAAAAAAAATAGGAAGTAGACTTAACTTTTGCTGTTGCCTTTGGCCATTTTTAAAAACAATATCATATCCTCTTCCCTACTCAAAATGACTGTGCACATGGCCAGATGTCTCCAAACCTCTCTTGGCTGAGCATTAGAAGAACTGCATGAGGCTGATGATGTACACAGAAACTGGACCTGGATGGTCTCATAATTCTTGTCACAGCTGCAGCCCAGGCAGAGAAGTGCTGGGGGTGGTGATATGTGGAGAAGTTTGCTTACGCTGTCTATTACTCATCCGTGTTGCTGCGATATATACAGGTTTTCAAGCAGAAAAAAAAAGTTGGAAAGCCAAGTTGTATGAAAGCTTGCTTGCTGCTTCCTCTTGTGTGCAGATTTGCTATGTAAGAAGGCCTTCTGCTTCAGAAAGGTTTCAGAACTCCTTTCATGACCCTTGTCTGTGCAGTGGACAGGATGAACAACCAAATGGTGCCCCACTCCAGAGAACATCTTGTAATCAGCAGCAAATGACCAGTATGTCATAGTTGGTCTGGTCAAACAGGAGAAAAGAGAGAGATTTCAAGAGTATTTTCTTCTGTTTTGAGAGATCTCAGACACTGGTCAGCATGTACTGATCCCTTGAGTAAAAGGCACAGGGCTGAGCACTGCCTTCCAGTTCCCATGTCTGTGGGTGGGATGGCTGTGCTGTAGGGCTGGGCCGGGCACCACAAGCAAACTCAGCAGCTGTGTAAACTCAGCTTTTCCCTGTTACACACATGAAAATGTAATATTTGCCGATAAATGGTATAGAGACATGGCAGAAGGAAGAAGACTATGGCCAACAAATCTTGAGTGTTGCTGATCCCCAGTCTCACATAGAATGTTTCTGTGCACATCTGTGTCCTGGTACGCGTACCTTATAAACAATTTACAGGTATTTTTAGGGGAAAGATGCAATCTGAAATGTAAGTTCATAGAGCTCTGCAGATTAACGTAAGGGGTGCTCTTTTTCTTACTCTCCTGCTATTTACTTATCAGTTACTGTCTCAAGCTTTCTAATATTCCAGTGATGCTTTTATTATGATCTTTTCCTGATAAAATATTCTTCATTTTTATTGTGTTATAAATCCTAGTCATAATGTACTCATCAAACCTGTTTTCTCACACTTCTAGGAATAAGCAGGCATTCTCTTCCTTGTCCTGTACCATTAGAGTGAATGCATGATCTAACATGAGAGGAACTGTTCTTGTCTTTTGGTACCCTTCCCAAAGCCCCCCTGTGACTTGGGCAGTTCCTTTACTTCTCAGTGCCATTAATCTTGACCACGCCTGTGTAATTCGGCAGCACAGACCTGGGGCCACATATGGCAGTTGAGCAAACGTGGTTGATGCACATGAGCTGCTGGTCGCACTGCACAGGGCGAGCAGACCACACACAGGCATGCTCTGGAGAGGCCGTTCCCTTAATATGGAGCAGTTTTGTACAGTCTAGGAGAGGGGGAACACTGCCTCTTGGTTTTGCACAGGAACTGGTTACGTGGTGATTTATTTTACACTAGATCTTGCCAGATCTCTGTTGATACTATGCTCCTTGGAATGTATTTTAGTGTGTAGCCTGCTTGAGGTTAACCGCATCAGTTTAACCGGAGTTTCACAAGGCAGGGTTTTGGTCTCTTGTTCTTTGAATAAAGCGTGCTTCATGTAGGTGATGTAAATGTATCTGCACATTCCAGCGTGTGTACAAATAACATTCAGCTGCTTTGAGATGTTCGTTTGGTTTCAGCATCTGAGTTGCTTAATTGTATGGCTCTTCTGGGTTCATAATAAGCCTGCTGCAAGAAAGAGGGAACAAAGAAAATAAGTGTGTGCTGACATAGCAATAAAATAAGTAATTTTTTAACACAGCAAGCATTTAGGGAGTAGAACTTAGTGACTTACAGTTGATTAATGTCACTGAGGTCAAGAGTTTAGCAAGACTCAAACACTGGGTTTTGATCTGCCTTCCTCTTGCTACTCTGTCTAATCACAACAACAAACGCAAACACAAACTTACAGAGAGTTGTGAGTTTCATGATGAAGGCTGAAGTTTGTGACCATTTTAGGATGTCATCTAGTAAGAATATAGGAAGCTTGTGCTAGACATTTTCATGTTGCCAGCAGAGGTTTGCCTAAAATCAGAGTCCTGGTGTTTTCCCTCTACTAACTACAGCCTGTTGCTGCATCCCACTTATTTTTTATATGCATATAGCCTCGTCTCAGGTTCCTGAAAACTAAAGTAGTGAATTGAATAAAAAAAAATATTAGAATTAACATACTGTGTGGCATGTCATCTATGTAATTTCTGTTAATAATTATGACGTTGATAAGTTGACTTTTCCTTTCCTAATAGTAGTAACCCAAATTGGTGTATGTGTAAGAAGATATTGTTGAGTTTCAGTAATAATACACAACTTTATAAACATTTAGAAGAGACAGGAAAAGGAATTTGCAA